CCCCAAAACCCCAAAACCCCAAAACCCCTTCATTCAATAGATTTGAAAATCTTTTAATTTGATGATCTAACCTGCAAAGTATATTAATCGCTAATTATCAATAAAACAATCTTGCCGAATGATTATTTTTTATGGACTTATTCATGCATCTTCATCCTCATCATCGTCTTCATCATCTGAATTCTTAGCGGCTTTCTTAGGCTTTTTAGAGGCTTTCTTATCTTCCTTTCTCTCCTCTCCTTCTTCGTCATCCTCAATATCAAGGTCTCCCATACCTTCATCATTATCTTCCTCTCCTGAGCTACCTTCTTCATTTATTTTATCCATAATTTCAATGATATCCTTATCATCCTTTGCTCCAATAACTTATGCGTCGTTAATACATTTATAGGTTCCTTTTCTCTCCTTAATCTCTTTTTCGATGATTTCGAGAGCAGATTGAAGCTTAGCAATACCATTGACTTTATCAAGAGTATAACATTCGCATTTGTAGTGAGGTGGAGCAATCAATTTAAACTAAAATTTTATTGAATCTAATGATAAATTCTTACATCAACCTTAATGTTGTCATCGCTTACAGCTGCTTTTGCTGTTAAGAGAGCATGTCTAATAGCATCAATACCTTCATATTCAAAGCAATTCAATTCGAAGTCTGCTCTAATTTTGACTGGAGATGGTGCCATCTTTCTTGAAATTGCCTCAATTAAAGAGGTCTTTTACTCTGGAGAAATGGTGATTTCCTTAAATACTTGCTCTGGATCACTATAATTATGATTAGACACTTTGTTTAATTGCTTATATGGAAGCTAATTGAGTTGTATACTCTGAGCTAATACTTACTTCATGATAAGTCTGAAAGCATCATAAGCATGTCCGAATTTGTCATAGAGATCCCATGCAAAAGCCTCATATAATTCTAGTAGATAGCAATCGAGTTTAGTTGCAACTTGCTTAAGGATGTTATGAACCATCTTTGCCTTTTTGTAGTACTTTTCACTTTGCAATGCCTCAGCTGGTTGGACCTTCTTTTTTGACAGATCAATATATCTTTTCTCTTTGTCAACTCTAATTACCATCATAGTTTCCTTTTTATTCATCTTCAAGAACTTATTAATCAACTTGACTCTCTTTTTGGTAACTTCAGTGGAAGGAATAAGTCCCTCCATATGCTCATATTCTAGTAGTACGACATAACCTCCATTTTCATGTACCTTGGTGATTTGAGTCTAAAATATGATTAGATTCTGAGATAAGATGACAAGGTAAAATATTAGAATAGTGCTTCCCACTAATTGGAAAGAGTACTTACCATTACAAGATCATTTTCTTCAGGGAAGTCTTTTCTGTAAAATCTGCATTGAAGTTTCTCGTTAAAGACGTGGTCATCTTCCTCTTCTTCGTCAATTTCTTCAACGTGATCTTTAATAATTTCTTCTAATGTTTCCATATTTATTAATAATTATATTAATAAGGGTGTTTTATAAAAGAATAGACTTATTATAATCAAGAAAATTTTCAATTTTGCAAACACTTTAATAAATTTTATCCAATAATATATTCATCTATTATGATTTCTTCTTAATCTTTAGATTTGAATTCTTCTCTCTTTACTCATCTCTTAAGCTGATCTAATCTTGCCTGCAAGTCATCGGTATTGTTGTTCTATTGATAAGATATTTAAGTCTAAGAAAATTTACTGCAATAGGTTGTTGTGACATAGCTGGAAGTTAATTCTTTCCTGGTCCTGCATGCTCCTCGCCTAGATCTACTCCGATTTCATCACAAATTTATGAGTAGACTTTATCAGCAGCATCTTAATCGTCGACTGTGTCCATACCAGCATCAATTGCATCATTCATCTACAAGAAAAATTAAGCTTACATATTCCCCAGAAATATTCAAGTTTAGTTTTAATTCATAGAATTGCTTAAAAGTCCATTTAAATTTGGATTCTTTATTATAGTGCTTTTTACTTACCATCTCTTGTTGCATTTCCATTTTTTCAGAATTCTTAGCAAATTCTTTAAGAACCTCTTGAATGGAATGAATATCCATGCTAGCATTGACCTTCTCCATGACATTATTAACACCCTTAAGTGCATCAACCATTGATTGATTGATTTCAGCAGTGGATAGTTTCATAGAGATTGCCTTCAATTGAGAAGACATCACATAATACTGTGATACTTGATTTCTGGTTCTTACAAGATCCTTAGATAAAATCTTGGCTGGACCCTATATGATTTTATGTTAAATAAGTCTGAATATAATGCCAAGTATGGATATTTTTATACTATCAGTATTCATATTTTATCTGTCAAAATATGAGTATCTCAGTAAAATGTAATACTATCAGTCAAATCAACTTACATGCTAGTTTTTCTTTGCAAGCTTCTTAATCTCTTCTAGTATTTTTCCTTCGTTACCTTAGAGCTTTTGACGTTCTCTTTCGATTTAACGAACAGCTCTATCGACTATTCTCTTGTTTTCTCTAGCGAGTTCCTTTGGTGTTTTTTTAGGTGGCGAGTTACCCATTTTCTCTTATTTCTATTATTATTTTATACAAATCTTCAATTCTTCTATTATTCTGCTCTATGGGGTTTTGGGGTTTTGGGGTTTTGGGGTTTTGGGGTTTTGGGG